CTTCTTCTTCTTCTTCTTCTTCTTCTTCTTCTTCTTCTTCTTCTTCTATAAACGAGGGGGCTTGAAAACAATTCCAGAAAGACTGGACTCTTTTACCTGCCCGGTCAAGGGCTACGGATGTGACCTCCGCCCGTCCTCTCTTCCCATCCTCTACCTTGGCCTGCAGGTTAATGATTAATATGCCCCAGTGGTAGAGAGGGTAGCAGTAACACCTGCACACCCATGATGTCTCAGGGTGGGTTTTCCAGGTTTCGCTCTTTAACATGGAAGGGTTTACTACGTGACTGTTTCTCTCACCACTTCCCACAGAAGGGCGCATGGCAACGAGTAATAATTCTGAACAGCACCTGAAAGAAACAGCTTGAATTTTAGTGGGCGTTATTGAAACAATATTTGGTGTTTTGTTTTTGTTTTAAAAACACGACTTGGAAGTAAACTCAGAATGCCTTTCCTGCTTTTTAGTCCTAGGGAGTTTCAATTTTCAACCATCCCTGTCAGGGGTGGGATTCAAATTTTTTAACAACTGGTTCTGTGGGCATGGCTTAGTTGGTGGACATGGCTTGGTGGTCATGTTATTGGCTGGGTGTGGCCAACTCAATATCACTCACATCGAGGCACGCCTCTCATGACTGTGGGGATGCTGCAACAGTCGTAAGTGTGAAAAATGGTCATAAGTCACTTTTTTCAGTGCCACTGTAACTTTGAATGGCCACTCCACACAAGCAAAGTACCAGCAAAGGAGGGGAAAAAACCTCCGGAGAAGTTCCAGAGACAGGAAGTCTAGTCCTGCCAAGATGTAATAAGGGTTAACGGAGAGGCAGTTTCTGTAAGCAACACCAGAATGTTTCCTTCCTGCCTTCCTTACAGGATTAGGCCCATAATTTCTTCTAACAACTGGTTCTCCCAACTACTTAGGATGTTAACAACCGGTTCTAGCGAATAGGGGCGAACTGGTAGAATCCCACCCCTGGGTTGATTGGATTTTGGTTGGATTTATGAGCTATTAGTTGTTTTTGAGTGCTCCTTTTACATAGGACGTAGCTGAGAATTTAGTACAATGTGAGAGAGGATGCAAAGGAAGCAGAAAAAATAAATACGCATTCATGCACAGAGCGTGGTTGGAGCGAGAATTCACCAGGGCTGAAACCACCCCCTTGAAACCATGCCAGTGAGAACACAGAATATGGCATAGCGAGATTAGAAGAGACTTTGGAGATAGCCTAGCCCAACCGCCTGCTCAAGGGAGGGCACCTTATAATATACCATCGCTGTCAAACGGTTCTACAGTCTCTTCTTGAACACCTCAAGTGATGGACCACCCATAACTTCTGAAGGCCACTCCAACTGAATAATTTGTCCTCCCTGTCAGGAAATGTCTCCTTAGCGCCAGGCTGGAGCCAAGTTTCCATCCATCCGTTACTCCTCCTCCTGCCCTCAGGAGCTTCGTAGAATAGGTTCCCCTTGGAAGACTGCTATCATATCACCCCCTAGTCCTTTTCTCCACGAGACTAAGAAACTTACCTCAACGGTTCGTTGTACGGTCCATCCTGCAGAT